CAGTAAATTTTAAGTATACCGTCCGTATACTGCGATAAAAAAAAAAATATTTTTTACAATTAATGAATGTCCTTAGCTAATATACCTCCAATTAGGATGCTTATCACACAACACTTCATCAAACATTGGTTCATTTTCCACTAATTTCATAGCAATCTCTCTAATCCATTTACTATTCTTCAATTCACTCTCATCTAATTTATAATCATTATCAGCTAATATAGCCAAATCACGTTTCTTATTTATTGATTCCAAGTAAAATTTCAACCCGATAGTAATAATAGTTGCAAGGATTATTGAAATTAAGCATACGGTATTTCCCATAAAGAATGAAGGAGCATCATCAGCTGGGAATATTAGAATTCCTATGATTCCTCCAAGTTGATCAAAAGTTAATACTACTGCGACCATCGTGCTGCGCTTGTATTGACCGACTGTTTTAAAAAATTTAAATTATTTAACATTAGATAATATTATCAAATTTTAGTAAATATTAATATATATCGCAGTTTATGAAAAAGATACTAACGAATATTACAGGTGCACCAACTGAAGGCTACTGGTAAAACACCGTATGCGCCACATGACAGAAGAATCGTAAAAAAATATCTCAAATTGTATAAACTAGGATCATTGGCTTGCGTTGCTACCATTCCTGTCAATCCAATGATTGCTAATAAATAACAAGCCAATATATTCCAAGTCCTTGTCAGGTACTTATCAGATAACCAAGAATTAATTGTCATAAATACGGTTGCAACAAGAAGTGGTGGTATGACCATTACTTGAGCTCGTACATCATTAAAACCAAGTTGGTAAACTAAAGTTGGAAGGTAGATATTAAGAGCATAGAATGTAATTGAAGTAAGCATAAATAATATCATATAAATGTAAGTTAGGATATCAGTGAAGACAAGTTTTATTTGAGCTTTGGCGATGCTACGATCAACCATATTTGGACCTCCTTCTGATTTTAACCGTTCAACAGCGAATTCACGTTCCTCAGGCGTGAAGAAGCGGGCGTTTCCGGGACCATGAGTTAAAAATACGGCAATAATTAAGGCCATAACTAAAGTTGGGATGTTTTCAATTATGAATAACCATTGAAAACCAAATAATGAAGTTCCTGATATTTGGACTATGAAATATGACTAATGAGTTAATAAATATTATAATGTATTAGTGAATTTAGTTAATGTAATGACAATTATGGTCAATTGCAGTCAATTGCGATTAATTGTGTTGGAGTTTAAAACTTACGGCGAGTCCACTAAGAGCACCACCAATGGAGATTAAAGCCATAAAGATGGAATATCTCAAGGTTACTTCGTTTCTGGAATAAAATAAACTGACATATCCCACTATGGATGGAGGATAAGCTGCTTGAAATGATCCTGTATCAATACATTAATCAAAAGGAAAATGAATTTTTAATTTGTCGTAATGGTAATGTGTTGCTATTATCGATTGATCAATTAGAATTTTAGGAATCGAAACAATTACGATCTTTTTAACAAATCATTCAAATCGTTAGTGGTTCTAAATAAATTAGTGCATTATATTTATTGATTTGATTTCGCGTAACACATTATCTACTTAATGGTTGGCAAAAATCGACGTAAAATATCAAGTTTATCCGGCAGCTTACTATGATCGTACCACCAGAATAATTTGAATTCTTTTTATGGTGATTGCACATCATCATCAAATAACTTTGTTATTTGATGATGACGCAATTATCATCAAAAGAACTCGAATTATTCTGTTGGTTCGGTCGTCGTAAGCCATCGAATAAAATCGCTATTGGATGCTACGTACGCAGCCAGATAAAATGAATCATTTATAAATAATTCTGTTATTGGCTGCTTCGCATCCAATAGCTATATAGTATACGTTGTATACATATCCTCTGATCAACCAATAAGATTGCAAAGAGCAACATAAAGTCTAATTTTGAAAATTACACTAGAGTGTGAACCGGATTTATGTATAACCGATTAAGCGATTTAAGCATAAAAAAAAAAATCCGAATTACATTTCTGTAATGCAGTTACACCCTAATCTTAAAATATATGCTAAGGACATTCATTAATTGTAAAAAATATTTTTTTTTTTATCGCAGTATACGGACGGTATACTTAAAATTTACTG